TGCCATTGAAATTTGTCTGCCATAGATGGCTTGAGAATATACCACTTTGCCAAAGAATGCTGATGCTTTGGGACAATGTAGCTGATTATGTTAAAGCTACAGAAGATGGAAGGGTAAACAGGCCCAAAAGCAAATCATATGAAGTTGTAAGGAGTGCCCTAAAGACCCATGCTTTGTAGCCAAGTTACACTTCTTTAAGTGCATTGCAAATCAACTGCAGCCATTTCTTGCAAAGTATCAAACAAGTAAACCTATGCTACCATTTCTCAGTGACGATCTTTCTATGATCATCAGGTTTCCGGTGAGGAGATTTATTAAAAGTAACGTACTTCAAGATGCTAGTGATGAATAACTAGTGAAGATCAAAGATGCTGACCAGAAGATTGGTGTGAATAATAAGAGAGTTGATGGTGGATTTGCTAGTGAAAAATTGAAAGTCACTGGTAATTGCAAACCAGGTGAGAGGAGGTTATGGAGTTTAGGATAGAAAGTAAAACTTGTCTCATTCAACTCTTGAAGATGTTGGAAAAGTGTCCAGCATTTTATTCCCTTGTTCAGCATTAATCATGGCTAAATCTAGTCAAGATGGCCTCAAACAAGGAAGCTTGTTCAGCAAAATTCAAGGAAGTCCTGAGATTGCAAGTTAATGCTGAAAGAGTTAAAGAGGGAGAATGTGACACTCTCCTGCAACAGTTTGCTATGTTCTTGGACAGCATTCCAGTTTTTGGGTCAGAAAGATTTGCTAACTTCCAATCAGCAGAAGACAGAGTGGATACTCTCTTCTTTGAATGTATGGCAAACGAGAGCTACAAGAGTCTTTTCAGTGATGTAAAACGTATCCTAATTTTGTCACATGGACAGGCAACAGTTGAGAGAGGTTTTAGTGTCAACAAAGAGGTAGAAGTTGAGAGTTTGTAGGCTCAGTAGGCTCAGGCAAGTCATTAGCATACCCAGCCACATCCTTATTTGCATATTCACCTTCGCCGCCATGTTGAGTTAGATTTTCTACTCCAACCAAACTTTGCTCAAACCTAAAAGGAAGCGAGCATAGGGAGCAGGTCCGTTCAATATCTGGGTAGTCCAGATAGTACTTGAAGCCAGCTTTACTCAGGTTTATGCACTTAGCATGTGACCAGACATTGCACTCAGTACATAACAAAGCATCTTGATTCGAGCGAACTCCTTTCCCACACTCCTTACAAGGCTATTTTGAGGTTCTCTTTTCCGTTGGACCTGGGTTTTTGTGGATATCCGCTCCGAGAACTATTCGGCTGAGCTGTTGGGTGCTTGTGTCGTTAGCAGTGTACGGAAATTTTGAAGCCAAATAGGATTTACTTCTGCCCGAACTTGCTCTCGGAGTTGCCCAGCTTCTGGCCCCATAAATATCCCAGGAATTTTGAGGCAGGATTGCTGATACATCGGTTAGAAGTCGTTGCCCGCCTTCCCTTCCCTTTTTTGAAATGGAAAGCGAAATGCAGTTCCTGCGTCGCTCTTTTATCCTAATAAGAAAAAAATACTTGAGTAACATTTTTAATATCTTTGCAGTACAACAAGGGAGGGAGGGCTGCTCGTGACTCATGGGTGTTTGGTATAGTCTCTCGTGCGAATAGTCCCGCAAGAGGCTATTTCCAAGAGGTGGACAGAAGGAATGCGGCAACTCTTCTGCCCATCATTCAAAGATGCGTCTTGCCAGGCACCAGAAGTGCATACAGGAGACCCCAACTTGCCTAATGTCGACAGGCACCGAATTGTTGTGTACGCGCACAATTTTGTGGATCCACTAACAGGCGTGCACACACAAAAGGTGGAGTCCGTTTAGAGTCAATTGAAACTGGGGCAGAAACGGAGAAAGGGGCTGCGCAGAGAAGATCTCCAATCCTACCTGGACGAGAGAATGTGGCGGCAATAGAGAGAGAGTAGCTATCGATTGGTTATGCGCAATTTCCTTGCCATTTTCCCACCACAATTTCCAACCGAAATTCTGGTACTTTAAACTTATACCAACTGCATAGCAGGAAAAAAAAAAGAAAATTGAACATAACCCCTTAGAGGTACCAAGATCTTGATTTATTGACTTACCTTACATTTTTTCAACCCTAAGAGGAACAACTTCAAATCTTTTAAACTATACTAGTTGCGATGTTTTTTGTTTCTGCTCTGGTATGTAGGTGCAGTAAGTTAACAGTCCAATTTGCTCTATGGACCTATAAATGGTACGATATAACTTGAAATAGGTAAAGACATAAAAATAAAGTTATTTTAAAACATAATCTAGATTTGCGTTACTTACATCAGAATAATAAAACAAGACCAACATATCAGCGGCATCCCCTCTTTTTGCGGACGGAGTGAAAAAGTAAAGAAAGATTAGGGTGAAAACTATTGAAGAAATTTGAAACTATTAGAAAAACACTGAAAGCCACGACGTCGAAGGTTTTTTTTCCAGGGAGAAGGAGGGGGGGGCAGTCAGAAGCCACCCAACAGGACTGGGCTATATATCGAGGTGGGTTTTAAAAAAATATTCTTTGACTGAGCAGGGCCATGAACAGTATTCTAAGGTCGGTTATTAACGTACACGTTATCTACAAACCGAGCATCGTTATGTAATAACAACAAACCGAGGTCAGATAACGGGACCCCTGTACAATTTAAAAACCGAGGTCGGTTCGTGTATCCCAAGCTCGATAAATACCGTGGACGCTACGTGGACGTCAACCGAGGACAGTTTACGGATAGTAAAAACACCACCCGGGGAGGGATTTTTTCCCGAGGTGGTTGCCCAGAAACAAAAACTGATCCGAAATTTCCTTGTTGAAGTTTCTTATTTCATTTTTTGTAACTGTTCGGCGAGCGAAGTTCTATGGGTGAGATGCTCCACTTTATTTCAGCTTCTCTCTTGAGGACCTTGACTGTGGTCTCTGCGGACTCAGCAGCTGGTAATAGAGCCCAGTTAAATTAAGGAAATTCGCACAAACGTCCCCTATAGGATTGTAATTTTGCGGTTGCAAAAAGCTATAGCTCTGGAAAGTTCCATCAAAAATCCCTAATCTAACATTTCCATTTGCAAACTAAGACCTGAAAGTTTGGAGATTCTATTGGAATGTTGAGTCAATCAGTCACGTGTAGCCTGGAACTTGGTCTAACATTTGTTCCTTTTTTAAAACGCTGGCAAGAACTTGTTGTGATGTTTACTCTGGTAATATTTATATATGAAATAACAGTCGATTATTGAACTTCACCGCCCTTCCATATCGCGACCTTACACCCAAAAGAAAATTTGTCGATGTTGCTGATTCATCTTGCTGGTCCAGAGAATTGTGGTCATCAGTACTGACATACACTTCTTCTCCACTACTTTCGTCAAAATCTTGCTGGCCTTCATCAGATACACTAGCTTCCTCACTTCATGCTCATTCAGATCTTCATCTTCGTTAACTCCGAAGTTCAAATTCACCTTGTAACCAACTTCGACGTGGCGTTGATAAAGAAACTCAGGCAATGATCCCTGCTCAGCCATTGTTGGTTCTTGCGGCACTGTCCTTTGTCTTAATGCTGCACCATATGTCGAGGCTCAGTTTCGTAAGATGTTGCAGTCATTTGAAGGGAGGTTGACCGCGGGTAGAGGATCATCAATGGTACATTATCAATAGACAGCAATGTGTTGGGCTTTGAATACCAGGACTTGCGACTCCTGTGACAATATGCAGCCCAACTTGCAGCACGTTTCACGCTCTCCTTCATAGTTGCATCAAATGACTCAGCATACTCAAGCTTAGACGTGTTCACTCTCTTGGAATGGACAGTTGCGTGACAATTTTCACCGTCTAATGTCATACAGCTTAAAAGATCAAATGCTTGGTTGTCGTATTCTGTCAGAATGTCTGCTAGTCTTCCTGGGCCCCATTCCATAAACTCAACAGAGTTCATTATTTTTGCAGAGACATGGCCCTGGGGACCAGGGCCAGTGGTGTTATTCTCAGTACGTATTTGATATGCATGTTCTTCTAGAACAGTTTTGCAATGGCAAACCAAACTGATCGCTTTTTCTGCAGTCTTCGACTCATACGAAGCACCCTTGTTATGAACAGAGAAAGCTTCGTAGATTGGGCCAATTGCCATAAGGAACTTTGCGCAATGGTTGATTTTGGTCATCACACACATACACTACACTTTCAAACTCGGTGGCGACTCTCATCAGTTGCTTAAAACAACATGTTGTCAATGGTCCATCCAAGGAGCCCTCTTCTTTATCAGAAGATCTACTTCTCCAGTTCATCACAACGTCCAAACTGAACTGATTGGTGAGGAGCAGATCAGGTCCAAATTTAGTTGAAATGCAGAGATTGTTTGAAGCATCAAGAATGAGGAAATGGTCTTTTTGTCAAATCTATCCTAATTATACCATGTCGTTTAGACAAGAAGATGCGCATATCATTTATGCATATACTGTTTACCTTTCCCCAGTCTTCAACACACGACACGGTAGAATACTCTTCATTACACTCGAGCCTAACACCATCACTCTGCAGGATTAACTGCACAATTTTGCGTTGATCACCAGCAGAATTCTGACTTGCATACAAAAGGTTGCTGTCTACGCACACCATTGATTCAAAAAATGGCTGTTGACTATCGTTCTTGGGAAAAACTGTATCTTCTTTACTCGACAAAAGACCGTCATGCTTTAGCTCAGTTGTTGAGTTGGCCTTCCATGCGACTCTTAATCTCTTGCACAGTTCCCACAGAGCTCAATTTCAACTGATTAGCGATCTATTCGAGATCAGCTCTCCTTTTTCTGAGCAAAAGCTCCACTGCCTTAAGTAGGCCACTTTTACAGGCAAGGAATGCAATACCATGCGCATGATGAACTTCTCTTGCCCTTGTGCCTTTTTAAGGTGGGATTAATTCATCAACAGGACTGTGCAATCGAGCCTTGTATAATGTGGACGTATTTGACTCGGCATCAAACGCCAGGAAAAGAATCCACCCATAATTTGTAATAGCAATACTTATGGGTAATGGAATCATCCCCATGCGATTTTCTTGTGTAGACTTGTCAAGATCAGATGTATTTACGTTTTGTATCTTGCAAAAAACAATCGTGTTGTAAAGCCAAAATGTCGCCAGGTTATACTTCGCTACTTAAAAAGTTAAGCAATTTTCCAAATGCTTTGACTGAAATAATATTTTTACTGCTATATTAACCAACGGAGGCATCGACCGGGAAAAGCATCGGTGACGCAAATTTCCCTTTCGTAAACGGTCGGTGCCATTTGAAACGGTCGATGCCATTTCTCGGAACGGTCGTTGCCATTGAAAACGGTTGATGCCATTTCTCATGACGGTCGATGCCATCGTAAAGGTCGATGCCAAGAAGGAACCGATATTTCCGACTCTCTCCGACGACATGCGTGACAATTAGAGCAATGCGTGACTAGCTTTCCCACAAACCATCGCGATTTTTATCAAATCAAAATGGCGGACAAACCCGACAATTTTCTCAAAGATCTAATATCTTCAGCCATAAAAGAAGTCGAATCGAAAAGAAAATCTTTTGAAACGACCCAAATTACAAAGAAGAGTTTTCTGGCTTCACTTCCAGATGATTCATTTTACTACCTGAAGGCAATTTCAGGAAATGGAGAAAAGTTCAAAGTGCTCTTTTTGAACGAAGATATAACGAAAGAAAACCTGGAGCAATGGATATCCGAATATGAAGTGATAAACAGCATCTCAGTGAAGTTAAAGACAAAGAAGGCACCAACAAGCGGCTATGTGTTGCAAAACTACTATAGATGCCAACACAACACTCGCAACTGGAGTCCAAGTAAAGATCCACAGCAGAAATTGTACTTGAATCCATCTGCCAGAATAAAGAACACCAATTGCCCCTTTCAGATGATAGTCAAAATAGACAGCGAGGGATGTTGTTCTGTGGACATAGAGTGGGACCACAACCATTCACTTGAAACTCTGGAGACCTCTAATTTCCGTGACCTTTCTCCTGAGTGCACAGAAAGGGTTTTGAAGCTGTTTGAAAGTGGGCATACACTAGCAACCGCAAGGCAACAGTACTTGAAAGTACTCAAAGAATCATGTCAGGATGAATTGGAATTTCACAGGAAAAAGGCCAATCGGGCAGTTATGCCAAGAAAAAGGGACTTTAGTTACCTCTACACGCAATTTGGTAAGGATAGGTATGGTGGACAAGGCATTATGATGTTTGAAAGACTTGCCGGAAGGCTTGAACAATACAAGAAAGACAACCCTGAAGCTACTACTTGTTACCAGATATATGAAGGTGATAATACACCTCTTATAATTGCTATTGTAACGCCTCTCATGAACCGTGTACACAAGGAAGTGCAGCAGTCTGGTGAGATGGTTTTTGTTGATGCTACTTCTAATACAGAAGAGCACAATCTTAAAGTGTTTTTAATGTGCACAAACAATGTATCTGGAGCACTTCCACTAGGCATCTTGATCACCAGTGATGAGCAGGAGCGTACACTTAAACAGGGCTTTGAAATGCTTTGGTCCTGTTTACCAGAGTATGCATTCAATGATCGTGGTCGGGAACAAGGCCCCCAAGTCATCCTTACAGAAAACTGTAAAGAGGAAAGAAATGCTCTGAAGTCTGTTTGGCCAACACCTGTTTTACTTCTTTGCATCTTCCACATGCTCCAACAACTTTGGAGATGGCTTCACGAGAGCAAGAACAGTATCAGCCAAGCAGATAGACCCTATTTTCTCACCCTTTTCAAGAGGTCCTTATATGCCGAGACAAAACAAGATTTTGAGAACTGCTTCAGTGAACTTTTGAATGATGGCTGTTGCAAGAAATACCCAAATCTAGTCAGCTATTTGCAAAATCTATACAATGACAAAGAATCTTTTGCTCTATGCTTTAGAACTGAACTGCCTGTTAGAGGTAACCGCACCAACAATTTTGCCGAGGCTCAGTTTTTGGTTCTTAAGGATGTAATTCTGCAGCGCACCAAAGAGTACAATGTTGTTGGGCTTCTAGACAAGCTGACTATTGATCTAGAAGATCACTACAAGAATAAGCTCCTTAGTATTGCTGATGGGAGTTTTGATGGCGTGTACAGACATCGCTTCTTTGGCAAAGGGAAAGACGGAAGCACAGGGTTTAAAGTCCCTGATAAAAAAGATCTTGATGCCTACCTCTCAACTGTAGAGAACTTTGGCAATAATGTATTCAAAGTTGGAAGCTCTTCAGATAGCAATCACAGGTCAGTAGTGTTTTTTCTTACCCGTCACGATAGCATAATGCTCTGATGGTACAAGAGGGCATGTGTGGGTGGGCATTATTTTCCTATCTTTCCCCCATTGTCTGATTCAAATTATCTTGATAGGGGAAGCAGTGCAGGGGGGGAGGGGGCAGTGTTTCTAGGCTCCTCCCCTTTGGAGCAAAAATACATAAAACATGGGACATAACATGCATAACATATGAGATACATGTAATTCCTGCAGTTCATCCATATGCTGCATTCCAAGGATGTTGATTTAGCATAAGGAAGACCAAAACATGAGTAATATATTGTCCAGGGGATGGGGTACCTTTAGCAATTTCCCTTCTTGGCAGGGTATTGAGTTTTTTATAGCAGAGTAAGAGCAAGTCCTTACTCTGCTGTTAGGAATATTTCCATTAATATCTTAGTGGATCAACCAGTTGAAGGTCTAGAATGTATCTATTACAGATTGAAAAAACAAAAATTCCAGTTGTATTGAGATATCATTGGTTCTTTGTCAGTTATACAGTGGACATGACTCTTGGGATATGTACCAGCACGGTTGGTAAAAACGGGAGCCCATGCAAACACCAGTATGTCCTGTGGGTGGCAAATCTAACAGACTGCATAAACTTCATTCCAGTCAGTAATCCACATGAGAGGCAGAAATTGGCCTGGCTAGCAATAGGAAAGACACTTCCTTTTGCTTGTTATAAACCATTACGCTCTAGTGACGCTGGACAAACATCACAAACTGATGGTTCTAATGGTTTTGTAACAGAGACATCCACTAGTATGGAAACAGCACAACAAGGGCCAAACTGCTCAACTGCTGAACTAATACAGAGCAATGATGATGAGGATGAACATTCCACTGAACCAATACAGAGCAATGATGATGATGAGGATGAATCCATTGCAAATGCTGAACAATTGTTGAGAAACTCTTGTGAACAAATAATTCAAAAGCTCCAAAGCTCAAGAGACCTTTATTTGGCTAAAGGTGTAATCAGGTTCGCAAAAAGGGTCACATCCTTAACCGCTGCTAGATCTATGCATTCTAATTTGGCAAGCGCTCTTTTTTCTTTTGGGTCCAGTAAGGTGAAAAAAACCGGAAATGGAAAAAAGATCCGAGTCCAGTCCAACAGAAAACGAAAGTGTGGTAGTGGAAGCCGTCAGGATGTATCAAAAGGGCGACCAGTACAACTACAAGAACCAACCTCCAAGGGGAAGCGCACCCATGACTTGGCTAAAGCAGTACAAACAAACACTAAAAGTAGTAAGAAGTCTGGGTCCCATACTATGAAATCCAAGACAAAGCACATGCAAAGGAAAAAATAGGAAAACAGAGAAACTTAGTGAATAAACAATGGAATGTTCGCATAATGTTTAACATAGAGGGAAATTCACTTAAGGCAAATTGCCTAGATTAAAAACCTCTCTCCTTGGATCTGCCCCTGAACAACAAGGTTATTAAAAAGATTGAGGTTTTGACATTGTAAATAAGTTTTAATTCATTCTTTCCTGTTAAAGTCTAACACAACATCTGTAATGATTTAAAATTTGGTTTGAACAGTAGCATGATGTACATGTGCCAGAACTTAAGGATTCTTCCATGGGTTCAGATAATTGGTACGATGCCATACAACCGTATAGTACTCTAGCCAATTTCAAACACTTATAATTTGATTATATTTTTGTTCAAGTGAAACCTTGTGGGTATGAAGGTTTGTTTGCTGATATCCTGATTGAGGAAATTATAAGCAAAGTTCAGCCATTGATTCACATGGGGCGCTAACTAATACTCAGGTAAATTAAGGCCTGGGCCTCCAGTTATTTCACCCAAAAAGTTGGGGGGGGGGTCTATCTTCTGAAGATTAAGCTGTACAAACGTAAAACTTTGAAAAGATTGAAGGTTTGAAATTGTAAATAAGTTTTAATTCATTCTTTCCTGTTAAAGTCTAACACAACATTGTAATGATTTAAAATTTGGTTTGAACAGTAACATGATGTACATGTGCTGCAATGACCACAATTAATTTCAAAAATCGATAATAATAATTTAAAAACAAAAACAATTATGTATTATAGATTGATCCAATAGTCCTTTCAAATCATCTCCAGTTAAAATCACTAAATCTAGGATAGGTTAATTAAACATGTGACTTTTGGTGTCTTATAAGATTTCGTTTCTCTGCAAAAGTCTTTTGACAATGATCACACTTGTTGCTGTCTTTATGTTTCTTGTCTTTATGCCTCTTTGGCTTTTGCTCATGGTCAAACGATTCATTGCATTCCTCGCAAATGCACTCATGACAACCTTTCTGGTGGTATTTGAAGTCCTTCTCCCTTGTGAACTGGGTGCTGCAGGTTGGACATTTTTTTATCTCTGATATTCCCATATCAAGGTCTTCCCTCAAGCTCTGTGCTTTATCTTTCCAGTCCTATGAAGATCATAGCATGATATTTTAAAAGGGGGGAAATGTACTAGGGAACAATCGTGTATTTTTGATCCCCCCTATTTTTTATATAAACTAGATTGCAAAGACAGTTTTTTTCACCCTCTATCATAATTTTTTGAGGATAATACCCCCTTGCCTCCTCCCCCC